CGCAGACCTGTCCAGAGCTTTTCTTACAGTCGAACCAGCGTTACTGTGAAAATTCGCATTGAAAAGAAAAAAAAAACCCAGACAAACGCAATTTTTAGCTTTTTGCTCTAGCGGAGAGAAGAGCATCTGTTTAAGCAAGTCTCGCCTTCCGGTGCTCGTCTGCCGGCAGGTACCGCTGCGGGCCCCGTCTCGCAAGCTGACGAATGAGCCAGACGAAAGCGAGCCGAAAACAACTTGGAAAAAACTTTACTTCCAAGCCGTTTAGATTCAGGGGATCTAAGATTTGCACACTTTTCTCTCCGCGATTTATTTGACGTTACTTTATTATTTATTTTAATCGGCCTCGTTTTCCAAACCCTCTCCCACCCGCTGGCTCGGCCTTTCGGCAGCTCGGAGGCGCCGGTGCCCGGCCCGCCCTGCAGAAGGCTGGGTGTCTCAACTAGGTCGTTTCGACGGTTTATTCGGTCGTGTCGGGGAGCTGCGATAAGCAATATCAATGCCATAAGACGGGTGGTCACTGGGGTCCTTCGGTCTCTGTTCTGCGGCTCAGTCTGTCAATCCTGTCCAGAACAAGGTCTGCGGACTTCTCCGCTTCAAGGAGCGTCACTGTTACCTGTCAGAGCAAGTCCCGCTTGTTATTATTATTATTATTATTGATGATGGTAATAATAATAATAATAATAATAATTCTCAAGCGAAAATCCCGATCGACAAGAGAGAAGACCTTCAGGGCCGTGTAATGTCTGTGCCCCTGCATTCCCGTCACAACCCTGGGGACTCTCTGTCCCCGCAGACGTACCACTCTCGTCCGGGACATTTGTCCAACAGTGAAAATGGGTTTTTGTACAAATTCAACGGCGTCGTTCTTTTAAATTCACGAGTGTTCGCACTGTTGTGTGAATTCTTTCGTACGGAAGACTCAATAACAATAGGAATGGGAGTCGATGGGAGGTCCTCAGAAATTTAGAAAAGCGTTTTCGTGTTCTGTTAATCCTTCGAATCACGGCGTCGAAAGGAGCGCAGTTGGTCTTGCGACGGGGTTCAAAACAAACAAGAGCTCGTTAAAGGAAAACAACAACAACAACAACGCGCTATTTTGTTGCTTTCACTGACAATTTGATGTATTTTCAACGTGTGTGTGTGTCGGGAAAAGACGCGTTTTTAAATCGCAGACGAATAACACGGTTTGAAACTCGGACCTGGTTGCACGAGGGCGCGCACCGTCGCCGCCGCCCTCCCGCGCCCGCTAGCTCGCGCGCGCCCTCGCGCCAGGTACAGGTGCGGGTCTGCCGCTCTGAACATCTCCGGCCGGCAAGCAGACCCGCTGTGAAACCCCTCGGTTTGGCCTGCACGCCGGTGTGTGGGGATTTTGACTTTTAAGAAATCCTATTCTATTTACGAGCGCATCGAATTGTCTTTACAGACCTGCGTGAAGTTGCTCTAAGCCAGTCAGACAGCAGGACCGCGAAGGACATGCAGTACATGCACACATTGCAGTATTGTCTAAATCATTACCGTCCTGTGGTCTACAGGGGAAATTGCTGATACTAAAATAGCTGGCTAGCCTGCATGCTGTAAGAAATGGTTACCTCTTTGTTAAAAGTCCGACTACATCCAGTACTACAACTAACACCGACAGCAGCTCGGGAGCAGGGGCTCAGGTCCCCGTTCTGTCTGCACACAGCGAGCGGGCTCAAACACACGACCCCGCGTTACTAACGTGTTGCGGGAGAAAAGGAAAACAGTTTTTGACGTCTGTATTGATTCTCAATTAAAAGCAAGAACTTGTGCAAAGGCGGGTGGGCTGTTAGACTCGGTGCTGGTTCGGGTATTTAGTAGTTAACCGATCCAGCCTCTGCTCGAAAGGAGCCCGTGTTTCACACTCCCACAGATTCGATTCTTCTGATTCTGTCGGAGTGGGACTCGAGATTGGTTTCCCTGTCCAAGGACATTACTAGTGTCTCGGTTCGATTATAATTTTTCCATTTTTTTTATTTGTAATTTTTCCGATAGTAGCGGCTCAATTTTGAAGTTAACACAAAAAGAAAAAAAAAACAAGGAAAATTCTGTCCTTCTCGCTGTTGTGCTACGTACAGTACATAAGTGTTGTTTTTCCAACACACGACCAAAAAAAAACGTCGTCTATTTAAATACGAAATTCAATACTAAATTGTGTTCCGGTCTGACCCGTGTGCATGACCATTTTATCTATTTTCCTGAAATAGATAAAAAAGACATTTATGACTGTATAGTGTACAGTTGCGTTTCATTCAAGATTTTATAGAACTCCTTCCGCTTACATTTTATTTTGGATTTTGCTGTGCTGTACATGTTATTTTTTAAACGAAAATATAATAATAATAATAATAATAATAATAATAATAATAATAATGTATTCCAATTATTTTCAGTGTGGCCACGGTAACCAGCAATCTTGATCACGAAAGGAAAATGAAATACAGATTACAGTTTGAAGTAGCTGTCGTTCACAGGTATTTTAGGACATTTCCAAAACAAATCCAAAAAACTTTGTGATATCGTTAGCGACTTTCATTGCGGTTCAGATTATTCTACAGATTCTCTCTGTCTTCTGCTTCCTTCTCCAGTTTTGAGACCTGAATTACCGCCTTTCACTTGTTTGTCGTCCCTAAAGTTCCCACTGACTTCAGTAGGTGTAATCATTTCTCGCGTCTCAATTTTCCGCACACGAGCACGTAGAAAAGCTCACGTTCTGCGCTTTAAACGAAAATTAAAATTTTTCCCTACAAAGTGTGAAGGTCCATTTTACAGAAACCACTTTAGTCGTTGACCCATTTGATAATTTGATTTAAAAAAAAACAGCTGATTCTTTAACCTGAAAAAATCAACCAAGGACTCCACCTGCAAAAGTCGGTTTTGTTCCACACCCACAAATTAATGAGAGCCCGACCCCCGATCCCCAACCGCCCCGCGCACATATTCCCTGAGAGGGGTACCTGCGATAGTCAACACTGTCACTGCAGTACGCCAGGTGTTAACGAGGACAGAAATAACCTCAAATTATATTCTGGAGTTAGACCGGGGAATATCTGCATTTAGAAAAATTACAAACCAACTGAAAATAATAACGAAAGTCTTTTTTACAACAACCCCTGTTGTTATTATTATTATTA